CTGTGAACTGCGCACTAGTCATCATCTCATTTCGCCCTCCCGAAAAGAATTCGTCCACAAGTCGAAAATAATACGTAGCGAATGAGTTAAGCTTGCAAAGAAACAAAAATGTGATAATAATTGAAAATGACCGAATGTCAAAAGGGAGTGTATACAGACCCGGTAACCAGGAACAAAGTCACAAAGTATACAGACCCGGTAGGGGAACTCTTTTGTGATTTCGGAAAGTTTCAGTGCCCTCTTGGCTCAGGGTAGACCTAGGTTCTTCTAGATCTATGGCCTAGGTCTAGATCTAGGATAGAAAAAATCATTGAGGTTAGCCTAGATCTACTAGACCTAAATGAAGATTGCAGAGATGTCTTTTCGATGAACGATCGTTTTTCCTCTGTTTTTGGAGTTGGAGGAATCGCAATTGAAGAAAAGAACATTGTCATAATTTCAATCGAGCAGTCATCCTCTCTCTCTCTCTCTCCTCTGTCTGTATCGCTCGTGTTCTCTTTTTTTTTTTTTGTCTCTGTCTTTCTTTCTCCCCACCTATTTCCCACTCTATCTTTCTCTCGTTCCCTCCTTTCAACTGGGGCATGTCATATTTTGCTAGCACTTCCCCCTGCTCTCTCTCTCTCACACACACACACTACCGGGTCTGGGCGCTGAAACTTTCTGACATCACAAAAGAGTTCTCCTACTGGGTCTGTATACTTCGTGACTTTGTTCCCGGTTACCGGGTCTGTATACACTTCGATGTCAAAATACTGCAAGAATAGAGCTGGCCCTGTTTTAATTATTGCCGTCTTTATTCGGACTCGAGTCCGAATAACATTTTTTCATATTCGGACTCGAGTCTGAATTTTAAAAATTCATATTTGGACTCGAGTCCGAATATGAAAAAATGTTATTCGGACTCGGGTCCTGAAAAGTGTCTTCGTTCTATAGAGCTAACGTTCCGTGCTTCCAATTTTCCGCCATTTTTTAGTTTCCCCCACACCTTATCTGCCGATCTGATGCCCGCCGCCTCATTGATACGCCCCCCCACCCCCCATGTTTCCCACTTTCTTTGTTGTAGAAATAGGTAAAATTGAAGATTAGCAGACCACCTGGCACTAAAAACTGTTGCAAACGAGATATAGCTAGATCTTTTGCCTACTAGATCTAGATCTATCTATCATTTTTGTGACTTTAGCAGGCACCCCCTATCTACCCCCCCCCCTCCTTTTCTACCGGAATAGATCTAGATCTAGTGGTGGTCGCGTAATGTTCAAAGAGGCCTAGAAAAACTAGATCTCCTCATCTTGATCTATGCCGAGTTGCCTTTCCTGAAACAGTGTGGCAATTATGTAGCTTAATCTACCTCTGGTTGTCGGAAGTTCTGATAGCCGCATGGGCAGCGTGTTTGCATCTGAAGTCATACTCATACAATTATTTCTATGAGTGTCGGAACGAACCCCGGTCCCGGAAGTTTTTTTTTGTTTTTCCCTCCTCTTCTTCTCCTCCTCCCTAATGACCAACAATTGTTCCCCAATTATAATTTGTTGCTCTATATTTTATGTAGTGATGAATCATGCTCATTCTGGTTTTGTCCCCAAGAGGAGCTTTTACCAACAAAGTATAATACAACAGAATAGGCCTACTTTTCCTTTTACCAGTTTTGGCCTGGTTAAAGTTCAATAGTGATTTTCCTTGATCTGTAAGTCGAATCATTTTTTATTTTTTTTATTTTAGCCCAGAGAGGCCAAATTTCAGCTCCTCAATTGCAAATTTTCTTCAGCTTCAGGGACCCTCTTGCGGGGCCCAGATCCCTGCCAATTATTATTAATATTCGCCCTGGTTGGGGGTTCAGGGCCAAGCTGATTCTGAATGTGAAATCAGTTTTGACGTGTGCGGTAACTATTGAAACAATTTTAAGTCCGAGTTTAATTCTGTGAAGCGTCTAATTTCAAAGTGAATCTTCGTCACAGCGCGTCTCCCTCGAATCTGAACAAGATCGCACGAAAAATATCAAGCCACGCTTGATTTTTCAACAGAGTCTCCCAACCATTGTTCAATCGTCTAAATTTTGTACAATCTTGTGGTTACATTTACACCTAACGATCTAGATTTTATCATATGATCGCTAGATCGTCCAGTTTCTGTACAATTTATCGTTCGGTGTAACCGGGCCTTTATCCAATCTATCGTCCAGTTTTCTTTCGATCGAGGAGATTCCTCGTCTTAAAGCCACCATGTCTCTTTGCGACGACAGCCATTTGCCTGTAGATAAACATCTACTCTACTCTATACAGTGGAACTCAGATTCAACGAGGTCGTTGGGCCTGACCTAAAATCTTGTTGAATCCGAGTGTTCGTTATAGCAAACATGAGGTTTTGTGTAGATAATTACATGCACTGAGCAAGTAATGTATAAAGAGAAGTCACAAGTAGTGCCTGAAATGCCTGCATATTATGAGCTGTGTAAAAAAAGACTGATAATTCGTTCAATACACAAGCCTGTGTCATCTCGATTGTTTACCAAGAAGAAGTTGTGTTGCTGTGTAGAGCCAAGCATACAGCAACTTTTGATTCCATAGACCAGCGCACAATTCATTACGTAGATCTACGTCAAGACTAGCTTATAATTATTGTAATAATGATCAATTGCCGGGGGGAAAAAAGACTGACGCGTATGCAACGTTCAATGCCCGGACCGCCATTTTGCTCAAAGTGATCACGGTGTCTATTCAGCCTGAGGCGAGTCACGAGTGAGGCCTAAAGCAGGACAGGAAGCCGGAGTCACGACTCACAGGAAGTCGGAAGTGATGTCATGCTGGACAAGAATCAGAGTCCGAATAACATTTTTTCATATTCAATTGGAAGTGGCTATTCTCACCCGGGGTGAGAATAGAAATACGATCGACCTCTCACCCCGGGTGAGACTTGCCACCATAGGCTATTCTCACCCGGTTTGAAACAAGACCTGTTTTTCCTAATTTCGGAATACTTTCTATCGATGTGGATGATCAAATGGATAAAGGCAAAGAAAAGATTACGTTATAGCACAAAAGTAAGCTAATTTTATCGACTACGTGTGTCTACAGAGATGCTCTATGGCTATTTCACTTTTTGAATCAAGCCGAACAACGGGGGTCGCCATTTTGTTTTGCCTGGAAGTTCTCGCGCTACTCCTCTCTCTCTTTCTCTCCTCTCTCTCTCCACTGCCCACAGACAAAATTGTACGCTTTTAGTAGGCTACAGTTGTAATGGAACGTTTGTTCACGGCACAGAATTCTACAATTTTTCTGTTATCACAGTGTAGAATTCTGTGGTTTAGGTAAGAATAGCCAAAATACTCGCCTGCACTATTCTCACCCCGGGTGAGAATATAGAGGTGGCCTATTCAATTCGGACTCGAGTCCGAATAGTCACTACTTCGTTTAATAAATCATTTATCATGTATGCACTAATACTATCTAGATTCTAGATCTAAATCTACATCTAGACCTATTACACTAGATCTAGAATCTAGATCTAGATTCTAGAGATCTAGATCTAGACTCTAGTTACATGACTACACAAAAACACACCCCTCGCCCTCGCCAATTATTTTATCTTATATGATCTCACTCACTTCAAATGTTCCAACGAGTGGGGATTTTTGGGCCTCCATATGGTCCCTGATAACCAAGACTTTGGCTTTGAGAACATCCTGGGCGATCTAGACATTAGACACACGAGTGGCCGTCTCCCTGGAGAGTATGGTACAAACTAAACGTGTGTAAAAAAATATCCTTGTACTATAGCTATCTAGGTTGCGACAGCCATCATGAATGATAAAATTTGCGACTTGTGACTTATGACAATAAATAAATCCGGAAGAAGTTATTGCCCTTGCCACTTGTCAAAAACATTACCGTGTTCATTTTAGCAAAACAACTCTTTTTAGGCTTGTAAAATGTTTTTAAAAATATGTTAAAATTAATATTAGGCCTATTATAGTAATACATGTAGATCTACGTGTATTCAGTCTCGGGTGGTATTATGTAATAATGATTATAAATATACGACGTACTACTAATTTAAATTTACTTGTCGGGACTTTTCAGAAAAAAAATGAAAGCATAATATACGTATAATAAAATAAGATTTAGATCTAGATCTTAGATCTAATTGGCAAAGGGAGAAAGACTGGATTACAAAAAAATAAGAGCAGTTGAAGAGGAGGGGGGGAAGGCTGGTGACATAATATAAACGGGTATTTTTGGTAAGCGGTTTACGGCGTTCGCAAAGTTCTGTGTTTGGTCCAAGGAGATTAAAAGTAATGGAGGATGCTTTGTGGCCGGCACCGCAGAGACTCTATATTTTTAGTGTCTCTGA